CCTAGCATGGCTAGGCATTTCGGGCAGACTTAGTTTAATTCTTTATTTAAAATATTACAAATTATGAGGTAAGTTGGTTTTTATGGCTAAGTGACTAAATACTAGTTTTGTGAGTTTAGCAATGTGAATGCTTTTGTTTTGGCACAGTACATAGTTTCAGTATTGGAGTATCATAGGATTCATTATTTTAAGATTGAGATTAATATTTCTGTTTATGGTCAAATGGGTGAGTGAATGTAAGTGTGAACCACCAGGTGGTATTGTTTTAGTTAGTTGTCGGGGTGTAAACAGGGGATAAGATGTTTTTCTAAAAGGTAGTTTTGAAGGTGATGAATGTGTCTTTCAGTTCTTTGAGTTCTCAGGTAGGGGGTTTCCAGATTTAGGGCCTTTGACATACATTAAATTTTTGTAAAGGTTTAGTCGGACATGGGGAATATTGTGAGATGTTTGTGTCTGGTGTTATGCCTGGGGTTCTGTCACAATATCAAGAAAGCGTTTTAGGGCAAGGTTGATATTGGAGTTTAAGGTCCTGTAGATGTAGATTGCACAGTAGTAAGTGTGGATGTACTGAACAGGGAGTAAGTTTAATCTATGAAGAGTGGGGGGGGGTGTGTTTGCCCGGGGTGGGATTTAGTGATTATTTTTACTGCAGCTTTTTGTTGGATTATTGGCTTTAGGTGTTTTGGGCTGCAGTTGCCCCCAAGCAAAATAGCATAGGTGAGGTATGGATAAATAAGTGAGGGGTTTATAGTGTGAAAAAGGCCCCATTTTGCGGCACTTTAGTTTTAAATATCTTGGAGGGGAAATTCCCAACTTTTTTGGGTTTATTTTCTTGGTTATTTTGTTGGATATGGGTGTTTAAAATTTCAGGTTGTTGTCAAGGTTGGGCCCTGGGGAATTTGCCCTATTATGTCGGGTTTAATTAGATTTTTGGGTCAAATTTTAAATTTTAATTTGTGCATCTCCTGCTCTGCTCCCAAAACTTTAATTAGTGGGTTTTTTGCAGTTTTAAAGGGGTAAGTTTATTGGCTGTCATCCAAGTCGTTATTTTGATCGCTCCTCGTTAACAATGGGGGTTGGGGGTGGAAGATTAGGGGAGAGATGAATAAGTGGGTCGTCGGGCAAAGAGAATGGGTTTTCAGGTTTTTGGGATACGTTTGGAAGATCTTTGATGTTTTTGGGGAAAGAGCAGGGGACCAAGGACATTTCCCTTTGGGGAAAACCCCAGTATCAAGGGGCCCGTGTTGTTGATGCTGTGTCTTTAAGGGGAAAATACTGATACCTTTTTTAGTGGGGTAAGTTTTGGGGAAATAAGCAAGCGCATGGCCTTTTTATCCCTTTAAATGGTCAAGTTTGGGGGATTTGGGAAATGTCGTGGTTACTGTGTCAAAAGTTTTTACTTAGGTCAAAAAAAAATTCCTAGTGGATACCCTTTATTTCCAATGCTTTGAAAAAGCAGATCTGCTTTTTTATGATTGTTTCATTAGTGCTTTTTTTTTTTTCCTAAATAAAAATTTGGGCGGGGTTTTTGAGTATGCTTTTGTGCAGTTATAAATGAATATAGTCCCCTGTGCACGAGTTTCTCAAAGTTTTTGGTGCAAGGGGTAAGTTTGATATTGGCCTATAGGGTTTTAAATCTGTGGGGTACCCTTTATGTTTTTGGTTTTAAAACCCTTGCCTCTTAAAGTAGTTTGGGGAAGGTGCTAGTTTCTAGGACTTTTTTTTAAAAAAGAAATGAAATAGCATGCGAAAGGATAGGGGCCCCGCTCGCTTTTTACAGAAATGCGGGGAAAAATTAGACAGATTCCCTGAGTTGTTTTTAGTGACTTTTTTAATTCGGTGATTTCCGGGGGCCCTCATTTGGGGTGAAAGTTAAAAGGGAAATTTTTGGGAAATTCCCATCTAGGTAGCCCCCGGGGCATGGGCATTAGTTATTTTTGGGATTTTATTGGCAAAGATTAGACCCTAGGGTTGAAAAAAAGTGTTTATCTTGTTAGCTGTGTCAGGGGGAAATGTTTTTGGGGGTTTCTTTTGGTTTTAGTTGGGGGAAAAATTTTCTTTTTTTTTTCTTTTTGGGGGTTTCCCTAAAATTTGAGAGGTGTTTTTCCAGGTCTTTTTTTTTATCTCTTAGTGTTGTAATCTACTGGGTAGTTTTTTTAGTTTTTGGCTTTCTTTTATTACTTTGGTGAAAAACTGATGAATAGTTTTAAGAAAAATTTTGGTGTTTTAAGGGCCTGTCTTTTTGCTTTTCTTTATTGGTGTTTTTGGTAAAAGGTTTTCAGAATGGTGTGGTTACCCAGGGGGCCAACCCAAACCCTTTTTGTTTGTGATCTGTTTCTTTTTTTATGGCCCAAAGTTTGTTTTTATAGTCAAAAGAAATTTTGTTAAAAAAAAAATGTTGCCCCAGAATAAATACCATTGGCCTTGGGGGGAATTCTGTAGGCCAGTCAACAATCTCTAGGGGCAGTTGTGAACTTCCTTATTGAGGCCTCGTCATGGGGTCTTTTAAAAGAGACTTTTGTATTCAAGTGGTGGTTTATTAATGTTTGTCAGGAGGAAGGGAGGGGGTAGTGGTCTGTAGTGCTATCTGTGATTATCCCTGATTTTTAAGGGGGGGTAGGATATTGGTCCATATGTGGTTTTTATGGTTGCATTGTCTCAGTGAGCCGGTTGGTTTTTGTTATTGTTGGTATGAGGAAAATGTGTTGTTTATATTGTTGATGAAAAACAATTACGGTGATCATCTAGTAAGGCCCAAAGGGTTTATGTTGGAAAATTTTCCAGCTAAGGAAAAAGGTGGTTTCTTATTTATTTGTCTGTTTGTTATTAGTGAAATTTAATTTCTCACTGGGGAAATTTGGGGTGTTTGTGTGAGGTATCCGGGGAAATGGCACCCATTTTTATAGGTGTCTTAAGGTTTTTTTTCAGTAAAATTAGAAAAAAAATATTCCCCCTATTTTATCACTAAAAAAAGTGGTGGTAATACAAGGGTAATTGGTTAGGGTAATAGATTTAATTTCCACCCCCCCCAAATTGGTTTTGGGCTGCAGTTGTGGAAAAAGCATGCCTAAAAGCATGCAGAAAATTTGGGCAAGAGGGGGGGGGGGAGTTGTTAAAATCCCAAAAATCAGAATTTTAAAAGGAAAAAGTTGTCTTTTGTGACTCGGACCGTTGGGTTGATTGTTGGTGTTTGGGTGAGGTTGTTTAAACTCGGAAAAAAGTTGGGTCTCCTGGGGAATTTTTAAAAACATCCATTTAAGGCAGTTTTTTGTGGGTGAAAGTGCATTGATAAGAGAGAGGTTTAAAAGGGGACTGGCCCCCCAAAAAGGGTTTAAGGACAGTAAAATCAAAAAAAACCCCCATGATCAACGTGGTTTTGGAAGAGCTTTTAATGAATCGCTCTTTTGACCCTTGTGGGGTTTGGGTTTCAGCAGCAGGAAAAAACACACCAGGTTCCATTCTTTAAGCTAAGGGGAATTTGGGGGAAAAAGAGGCTTTCATTGAAAAACAGGTCTTAAAAAATAGGACAGTTGAAGATTTGGGGAAATGTCGCCTGGTCTGGGCTTTTTTCGTTTTCGACCCGCAAAATGCAAAATGGTAGGGTTTTGAAAATTTTGGCCCTAAAAACCTTTTTGGGTGTGGGAAAGGGGGATTGCATCATGGAAAAGTGCAGCTGAAACATCTGCAGCAATACTTGGTGCACATGGGCAACATGAAAACCCGAATCTCTTTTTGAAAAACCATGCCATGAAGAATTTTAGGCTGTAATGGGGGAAATAAGGGTCCCCACCAGTACCCAGAAAGGGTTTTACTAAAAAAGTGGCCAATTTTATGTGTTTTGTGTGTACTCACCCAATTGTGGTTGCAGAGGTCAAAAATCATTAAACTCCTGGCCCCCGCCCTGTGTGTGTGGGTGTGTGTGTTGTGTGGTGTGTGTGTGTGTGTGTGCACGCGCGCGTGGGCGTTTTTTGGGGGTGTGGGTAATTTATTCATTTATATATTAAATTTATTTACATATTTAAATTTTGCATTTTTTAGGGGGGTCCCTTTTTTTTCTACTTCCTTTTTCACTAATTATCTCTGTTTTTAAATTTTTGTTCACTTATGCTTTTTTGCTTTCCCTGAGGCTTTCGCCCTTTTTTTTTTTTTTTTTTCAAAAATTTTTCCAAACCCTTTTCCCAGGGAAAATTCACTACCCTTTAATGGGCCCCTCCCCCCCTCCCCTCACTTAGAACTGCCCCGGGCCCTTCCCGCTCCCGCCTTAAACCCTTGCCCTTTATTTTTTTGATTTTTATTTTTTGTAACTAATCTTATTTTATTTTCTACTGCCCCTTTTTTATTTGTTTTACTGTCATTTATTGTTTTTTTTGATTTCTTTTACATTTAACATAATTAAGGTATGCTTTTCCTAAATTTTTCATCTTGATTTTTTTTTCATTTCTTGACCTAAATGTTGTACTCTAAATATTTGTCGTTAAAAAACTCACCCGGGCCCCGGTGGGGAAAACGGCCCAACTTTTTGGAAAAAAAAAAAAAAAAAATCCCCTTTACCAAAATGTCATTCTTCATTTTTTTTACTATTTTTTCTTGATTATTTCACATTTTTCTGATTGCTACATTCATTCTTTCCCCTTGCTCTCCAAATGCAATGTCTTCCGTTATCACATATTCCTTTGCTCCCCAAATTTTTCAATTCCCCCTTACTTCATTGGCACCTCTGCTACCCTGGCATACAAACTGATGAATACCTAATATTTTGTAATCTGTGAAATCCTTGCACCATCCAGCTATCAGGTACCTTTAGTCTGTTGGTGTCCTGTACCTTTTAATACTACCTCCCTCTCACAAGGTGTCCCTTCCACACCTTCCTTGATATGCTGGTCTGCTTACCCTTCCATCCTGCCTCCTCCCCCTCATGGGGTGTTCTTTTCCAACCAACCTGGACATGCTTGCCTGCTCACCATCCCCGTCCACCATGGGTACCCTACCCCCACCATCAGATGCGCCGTGGCTTTGCGCATCCACTCCGACGCTTCCGGTCCGAGGCCAGTGTACGAGAGGATGCTGTACAACCCCAGGAGAACCTTGATCCACGCCTAGAGCTGGCTCTGAGCGTGGGTGTACCAGTGCGTGTGGGCGTAGGCGGAGGCGAGGGAGACGCCAGTGAGCTGTTGGATGAGCCACTCACCCATGCAAAGTCCCAACCCAACCTCCTCCTCATGGGCCCCGACGCAGCCAGACGTAAGACTTGTCACACCCAATACACACATACAATACCTGGCTTTTTGTTGATACAATTTTATTTTTGGTTGAAAGGGTCTGCCTTATAAATACCTTTTATCATTCAGTAATGTAAGCTTTTCAGCACTGCAAAACTTTTGGCATTTCTTTTAGTTTTCAATGCTACTGTACTAAATATAATGCAGAGTTTGTGAATTCTATGAAATTATTGCAGTGTAAAAGAGGAGTAACTGGTATATGTGGACTTTAAATATGTCTATTTAGAATGCATTCCCTTGAAGCCAAAACAAATTTGAAAATATGCCTAAGTATTAGTCTTACAGTCACGTGCTCATTTACCTTAACCTGAAAACTGCCATGGGTGACAGTGACCCCTGTGTCATGGTGGTGGTTGCTAACTGCTCATGTGCATGGCCCTGTTGCTTGACATTCCCTCTCCCTGAGGCCTAAGCTTTGTTTTGCATACCCAGTGTAACATTTTAAATTAAACTGAACATTTATAATCAGAGAGTATGAGGTAGTAATGACTTTTGATACTTCTTTTGTCATTTTATGATTTATAATCTGTGATATAACAGAAAACATGCCACTAACATTGAGGCTGTGGAGGGCAATTTAGTTGTGCCTTTTATCATTGTTTTGTTCCTGGAGAAATTATATTCCTCTTTAATTTGTATGAAGTGTATAATAAAAATATCAGATAAGTGAAAAAAGCTGAATAGACTTAGAATTCTTTATTCTTTTTATTTTAAGCTCACCTGCCATTTAGTTTCAGGACATTAGAGAAACTTATTCAAGAAATTTGTCAAAGACAAAAGTCTAGTAATTACTAGATTGCCCATTATTGCAGTAGCCTGGTGCCTGTCACATTACTGTATTACCATTTTTAGACAGCGGCCTGTGCAGTAAGCTGCTGCAGATATATGGGCTTTTATGTCTTTGTAAATATTTTAGCAATTTATGAGCAGAGGAGTCTTGTTGGCCCCACAAATTTGATTGTTGTAAAAATAGTGCAATAATAAATAACAAACAAACATGACTGTATACAGCATACTTTCTGGCTTCTTGGTTTTGCATTCTTATAAATCTGTGTTGTCATTGTTGAACATTTAGCCTAGAGCCTGTTAGTTCTTAAAATAAAATTAGACACTACCCTTGCAACCATTAGTACTGTATAACCCAATGATAGTTTTTCATATCTGGTGATTATCAACTTGCATAATTCCATTATTGGAATAGTTCAGTCTTGAATTTCATCTGTAAGTCACCTGTCACAGTCAATTTCAAGAAATTCCCTAGTTCACAAAGCATATTACAGTACTTTTTAAATGTGACTGCCTTCTTGCTCATGGTATTAAGAAAACCATGTTCCTGCTATCTAAATTTTTATAGTTTCGTCGCCTGCGAAAGTAGTAAGCAGCAGCAGCAGCCACGGACAGCAGCGTGCAGATATGTTTGTGAATGTGCGCGGGGTGGCAGGGAGGGTTCAAGGTCTCCACATACCTCGCTCTGGCCTCCAGCTTTTCCTCAGGGTCCGCATCAGGTAGGTGCTGATGGTATACATTTCAAGTACAGTAATACAAAGCTCCAGAAGTGTAAGTGTCAACAGTTATAGTTCATGCGGTCACTGAATGTTTTGCCTTTCATACATAAGCTACTCACCTGCTTTTACCAGTGATGACAAAAACAGCAGCAGCAGCCTAAGTAGCAGCTTCAGCAGCAGTCTGAGCAGCAACAGCAGCAGTCGTGACCGAAGCACCAAAACGGTGGGTAGATCTCGCCTGGTTCCAGCATCACCTTCTCCAACTTTCGAGTGTGATTGGCAAGTGGATGGTGAGGTGTCAAGGCGAGCGCTGCTCATCCTTGAAGTTCGCACTGGCTCTAGAGAACTTCTCAACTCTGCCAACATTGCCCTTGGAGATGTCTTTACTGGTTAGTAGCAGAGTTATTCCTTGGGGAAATCCAACATCACTGCCTCTTGTTTATGAGTTGTATTAATATATTATAATCAAAACTAAGTGCTAAACCTACAAGGATCATACAGTGCCACAGGGTAGGGCGTGCTAACAGTTTAATATACTTGATCTGAGACTAGCGAGGGTGATGAGTATAACAGGTGAGGAGTGCTAAAGGAAGTACATCAAAGGTTGTGTAACAAGTCTGTTGTTGTCAAAAAGTCAAAGAGGGAGTCATGTCAAAGGTGGGGCCGTCCGTGAAGAGGGAAGATAAAATAAAGTTGTTAGAGCGTTGACAATGTCAGGAGTAAATTCTGTGTGCTCGCTGGTAAACAGGACAGTCCAGCAGAATATGGCAAATTGAAATTGGAACCTGATAATTCTCACAGAGTGGAACTGGGTGCCTCTCCATGAGATACCCATGAGTGAGATGTGCCTGATGCGGAGACAGGAAAGCGCAGTCTCCCAACCATGACATTGATGATAAAAAGAGCACCAGATTCCTAAACATGGCTTGATAGAATGTAATTTGTTACGAATCAACTCAGACCAGCGTTGTTGCCAGTGGTTGCAAAGGTGGCTAGAGATTACAACATAATATTCTTTATTCATTCAATATTCATTATTGAAACTATTGTAATTAGAGTAAAATTACTGTCTGCTATAAACAAAAAAAATTTACAACTTACACAAACATGACTTTTTTTTATTTATTAAGTAGTAGAAAGCCATTAAATTAAGTCACCCTAAGCCAGGCATGATAGTGGCCTTTGCACTTAAATCATTTTTGTAATTTCATAACCTCAATGAATTTTGCAAAAAATAAATTTTGTCTGTTTGTTTTTTTGAATGGATCCCCCTTTTTGAAACGGAAGGTCATGACCCTGTCACAACAGAGCCCACCTGCTTGTGCCCGAACTCAACAGACCAGGGACCAAGAAAACAACGATTTTTTTGTTTCTGCTAGCAATGCAGCAAAACCAAAAGTTGTATATGAAAACAGGGGATGAGGCAATTTTAATTTTTTTTTGTAGATTACAAAGCACTAAAAGAGTCTGAATCCGCCATAATTTTGAGGTGGGCCCGGACGCAATACGAAAATCACTATGTAAATCGCATAATGTTCACTGTAAAATGCTAGCTGGTTTTAATAAATGACCTCACACAACACTGTCCAGGAACACTACTGCAAAACCCACACATCAAAGGGTTTAAACCTCAGTGAAACTGCAGGGCATAAGAATAAAAAGGAAAGATTAAGAAAAAAAGAGAGCGAGAACAACTGTAGGTATTTTAACTTTGTGCATGGCAGTGGAAAAAAAAGCAAGAATGTCCCCCAACTTCCCAGAGGGAAAGAAAAAGCTAGATGCTAATGAACATGTAAAGGGGGGGCAATTGAAAAATCAAGAGTGATGAAGACGAAGAAAAGGGATGGAGAAAAAAGGGGGATGAACAATAAAGAAAATCTACAATGTTCATGCCCTCCTGTTGTAGAAGGATCATGAAGGCATGAGAGCGATAAAAAATAAGAGACAGAGGATCACTTTGACAAGGGTGGAAATTTGCCTCTCCATATAGGCTCTGACGGGAAGAACAAAGAGCACCTAGACATAAACGTAATCACTGATGATGAATGGGATCAAGTTATCAAGTTTAGAAAGAGTTGCGGGAGAGACCCGAAATTCTGGTCGCCATAATTAGTTTTGATAAAAATTTGGGCTGAATGAGGTCAAAGGAGATTTGACAAATTTTCCCCCAAAAAAAGAAGATGAGGGTTTTTTAAACCCTTTGAGGGGCGCCCGGCCCCCCTCAAGACTTTTCTAGGGTCGCCAAAAATTTCAGAAAAAAAAAATTATTTTTTTCTTATGATAAGACAGAGAATCTTTTCCCGATCATAATGACACCAAAAATATGAAATTTGATGGAAAACTCACGGAATTATGCTCTCGAGAAGTTAGCAGTCTCGACGATGTTTACGCATCAGCAATTTTGCCCACTTTGAGCCCTATTTTCAGCCAATTCCAGTGTACTAGTTGACAAAAATCATAATTATTTTGCTAGAACTCCGTTTTTTCTATCGAATGAGTACAAGAAACTTCCCATTTACCGATTTCAACTATCGAATAAAGTGGTCAGAATTTAGCAATTTTGCCAATTTCACACAAATTTCAAAAGATGCCAATTTCCAAATAGGGTCCAGAATAAACAAGAAAGACATTTCTGGCACTAAAATAACATTTTCTCTGTTCATTAGTCATGTCCCCAGGCCCCTCTTACATTTCTTTTGCTTTCCACTTTGATTTTTTATTCTCACAAAAAAAATAAGATTTACTGTTATGCAGACTACTGCATTAGTGTAGAAATGGTATAAATAATATCAGCACACTTGTGAAAGAATATTAGACTCACCAGTTGACGTGTATTGGACGCTTAGCATGATTTGTTTACTTTTGAACTTTGGTAAAAATCGAACATTTCTGCTACTTTGAGCTCAATTTCAAGGTACTTTTCATTGTAAAACCAGTCAAAATCATCTCAATTTCTGTAATATGTCTTCCATTCTATACAATGAGACCAGGAAAACTAGAATACAACAATAAATACCATACGAAAATACAGTGCAAAGTCACTGTTTTAACCCCTTCAGGGTCCAAGGCCAAAATCTGAAGTGGTGCTCCAGTGTCCAAGAAATTTTGAAAAAAAAAAAAAAAAAAAAAATATTATTTTTTCTTACAGAATTAAAGAGCATATTTTTGTGAAGGTAATAAGACAAAAAAAAAATTTCTGATCAGTACTTACCAAGATACAGTGCCAAGAAGTTTGTCCAAAATGGCATGGTGGTGGCAACATCGACGATTTCCACATACGCGCATTACTTTATTTAGCAGTTTTTGTAGTTTTTTCTTTTCTTTTCCGATTTTTTTCTTTTCCTACTAACATTTGGGGCCTGAGAGACCAATACTGTATATAATGTATATATATAAACTCACTGTATTGAACACAGTAACTGCACTAAAGTTATTATCATATTATTGTTTACCACTGTTGTTTATTACAATAAACATGCACAAATCTTGTATAATACTAATGTTCTATCATATATTTACATATTTACAATCACTGGACATGGTTTTAGAACTGCTGGAGCTTGTGGAAGTCCTTGAAACAAGGCACCATGCACAGAGGTACCTTACATTCCTCATACATAAACCGAGTGTCTTTGCGTCTTTGTTGCCGTCGTTTTGTTTGTGCACAGACGATGCATCTCTTCTGAGCAAATTTCTTCTGAATTGAAGGAAGCTGTATTATGAAATGATCACCTTCCCTCCTCAAACGCTTGGGTATATCCTAAGGAGTTCGAGGACCTTGTTGTATAGCAGGTGTTGTTACCTGGTACTTCATTATGAGTTGTCTGACAACAGACAAACAAAATTCACCATACGGTGGTCTGTTGCCAGTCTTCATTTGGTACATATTATATGCATTGAGCATTGAAATGTCCATGAGATGGAAGAAAAGTTTCATGTACCACTTGTAACTCTTACGAACACAATCAACAAAGCCAATCTGCATGTCACATTTGTCAACCAAGCGCATGTTTTGTGTATAATCAATCACTGTCACTGGTTTTCGAATACGTTCATTAGTCACTTGATCAACTTTGCCACTGTCTTGCATTTCATTACGGTGAATGGTTGTCAACAATGTGACATCTCGTTTGTCATACCACCGTAATGCCATGATATCATTGGTAGTAAACACCTGCACGTCATCACCACGAGCACCTGCTTTGAGCCTGGGCATATGTTAACGATTAGAACGCACTGTGCCACACACATCTGTCTTGTTCACTCGCAAGAATTCACTGAGTGATGGGCTTGTGTACCAGTTATCGGTATATAATGTATGCCACTTACCAAGATAAGGTGCCATCGTGCTTCTCACTACGTCACCTGAGATACCCAATAACATCTTGGTATCTTTCAATGTTTTACTTCCTGTGTATACAACAATATCCAATACCAGGCCACTGTCACAGTCACAGTCACAGAGTACAAACAGTTTTATACCAAAGCATTTCCTCTCGCTTGGTATATACTGCTTGAATGACAGCCTACCTTTGAACAAAATCAAAGACTCGTCAATTACAAGATTCTTGAATGGATAAAAGTATATGCTGAATTTTTGTTTGAGATACATAAAAACATTTCTAATCTTGTATAACCTGTCACTTCTGTCAGGCCTAGTTTTGTCAGAGAAGTGCAACATACGTAACAGTAACATAAACCTGTTCACTGGGATGATTTCACTAAAGACCGGGGTAGAAATTAGTCGATCTGTGGACCAGTATGCTTTTATATTATGCTTATAGACATGAGGCATAAGCATTATTGTTGCAAAAAGTAAATACATTTCTGCAACAGTTCGTCTCTTTCCACCGGTGTAGTCTTGAGTGTGGTGATATGATTGTAATTTGCCATGGTGTACTCAAAATACTTATTACTTTCCTTGACAATAGTTTCCATCAGTGGCTGGTCAAAGAATAATTCAAAGAATTCCAGTTCATTTGCAGTGTTTCCAAGGGGACAAGTTGGTAGAATTCCACTTTGAGAGTCATCAAAGTGGTGGGACTTGGGAACAAAATTGGGATTTTGCTGCCAATCCCAGATACGGTTTACTGGTGGATACTGGACATCATAGGCTGGTTGTGCGGGTAGTTGTGGTTGTGGTGGGCTTGTGGCAGACGCTCCGCTTTGTCCTTGAACTGCGGAGTCAGCAGTGTGGGTCCCAGCCTGGGGTGGTGAGTCACGCATGGCCGTGGCACTACCATCACCACTACCACCATCTAGTGATGCCTGTGGTCTATCTATGCCAAGTGTAGCCACATCATCCTCACTATCACTATCTGTACCTGGTGTAGGGCCACGGGATATACTCCAGGATGTACTCCGTCCCCTGGGCATGGCATAGAGTACA